TTGGGAATTGAACTCAGAGTCTCGAACCTTCTAGGTAAATGCTCTACCACTGAGCCACACCCCCATCCCCAAACAATAAATCTAAAAGATCCAGCTTTATCTTACAAGATTCCTGAATTTCAAAAATATTGACTTGGGGCCAGGGGGTCTTAAACTTTCACATAGAAAAATTACAAAGTAAAACCAGGTCAACGTCAGACTTGACATTTGCAGCCTGCTAAGGATCAGTGAACAGCATCCACAGTTGGGGGGGTGGTGGTGATAAAGACTACTTCTAAGAACTCACCTATCTCAAAGATTCCATTCATCTCTTAAGGCAAAAAAGCAGTGCTTATTCATTTTACATCTGTGTAGTGAGTAGTTAATTTGTGCGAGGCACTTTTCTAACTTTCATACTGAAGCAACAATTTACTAATAGCTAAAAATATTTTTTAAAAAAAGACTATCAATGGACCTTTTCATTTTATTCATTTATATGTGATGCTGAGAATAGAATCCAGTGCCTCACACATGCTAGGTAAGCACTCTACCACTGAGCCACAACCCCAGCCCCCTAGTAATAGTCTTAAGCTAAGTCTCTTTTTGTAGGGGTCCTGGGGATTGAACCCAGGGGTGCTCCACCACATCCCCAGCCATTTTTGTGTTTTTATTTTGAAACATGGTCTCACTAAGTTGTTGGGGCTGGCCTCCAACTTGCGATCTTCCTGCCTCAGCTTCCTGAGTTGCTGAGATCACAGGCCTGTGTCACTACACCTGGCTATTAAGCTAAATATTTTTAAAGCATCACTCACTGCTCCCCACTCATCTCCCCAACTCCTTGATCTTGTTAAACAACCTCAGCAAGATCAAGGAGTTGGGGAGATGAGTGGGGAGCAGTGAGTGATGATGAGATGAAACAGTCATGAGCTTTTCCTAGAAAGCGTCCCTGTGGAGTTAGGAGAGTTGTGTGGATATGTAATGGAATGAGAATGGGAAAGTGACTTTGAAGTGCCTAACACGGGGGGGAAAAAGGATAAACATGAATTCCACTAGCTGGGGAAAGAGGAAAAAAAACAGCAAAATAGAAATTATAGAGTTAAAGGAAAGGAGAAAGATCACCAGTCTCTCAGCCAAAATGTGGGTGGCACAGTTTAGTCCCTTGATGTCACTGTTGAGCTGCTGGAAAACTCACTTGGAAGCTTGCTCTATGTTCCAAGCTGCTAATTACGTGAACTTATTTCCTTACTTTTAAGCTATTTTGAATTTTCTGATTTAGTGGTGAGCTTCCTAATAGATACACCCAGTTTCACAGATAGGAACGCTGAGGTTCAGAGAAGCATACACTTACAGAGGTAAAAAATTGAGAGAAGAAAACTATAATAAAATTTTGGAATATAGCAGACCTGAGAGAATTTTGGAAAAAGCCAATTTAGCAGAATCAAGAAAGCTGACTCTAAGCCAGGTGTGTTTGATATATATGCTAGTCTCCCCCAGAGTCTCAGAGGGTGGCACCACCAAGCGGAGTAGTGTGAGCTCAGTGAGGAGGGCTGCTTGAAAAGCCTATTGGGAAGGGGTCTCAGTCCCACATCATCTCCCTCTGAGCAAGGTTCCAGGCACCTGTCTCCCGCCTGAGGAGAGGAGTGAGGTTTACTCTGAGGGTAACAGAGGGCAGGTCTTAGCCCAGTACAGTGAGGGTGGGAGTGCCACAGACGGATGCACAGGCTCCCTGTCCTCACCCAGACAGCCAGGCTTCAGTCCTGTGGGGGAGAAGGAGGGTCTTAGCTGAGGATCTGTCTTGTCTAGGAGGAAAGCGCTACACATCCAGCAATAAGCTGTTAGCTAGATGATTCTACAGGAAGTGTCACCATTGTCAGTCCAATCCACAGAGTCTTGAGCTTCAAATTGGCATTTTTGTTGCTTCATTATTTATTTATTTAAGAATTTAACCTTTATTTATTTTTTATGTGGTGCTGAGAATCAAACCCAGTGCCTCACCTGTGTTAGGCAAGTGCTCTGCCACTGTGCCCCAGCCCCAGATCTGTTGCTTCATTCTTAAACAGGAACAGACAACTGAGGTTCACCAGACTGTCGGGGGAAAGCCTCTCTGTGGCATAGCAAACAAGAGCACTTGGGGGACAGAATATGCATGGGAGAAGAACAGCTCATCATAAACTCCCTCTTCATATCCCTAGGGACAGGGATTGTATTCCTGAGAAAGGAATCTTGTGAGCAGGAAGGGATTCTTGAAAATTAGAAGCAATAGCATACTTAGAATATTGAACTGTTCCAGGAAATTGGTCAAAATGACAAAAATAGGGAAAATAGGAGAGTTAATATTAGAGAGCTATTTCAGGAGATCTGATATATGGCTAGCAGGAATTCCAGATAGGGAGAAGAGAAGGAATAGTGCAGAAAAAATACAAAATCAAGAAAATTTTCAGTTTGAGGGACATGAGTTTGGAGATCCAGAGGGAGGGCTCGTCTTGCACTGAACAGCACACAAGAAGATGGACTCACAGCGAGAACATCGGGAACTCAGATGCTGTGTACTTCACAGTGGGACTCGCAAGCACGACTCATAAGACACACAAAGGGGCAGGAATAAGAACAGCAGCAGCCTTCTTAACCTAGCAGTGGCTTCACAACTCTGAAAGAAAAGTTTTAGCCCAGTACACACCCAACTCTGTATTTAAGCAAATGGCGAGAGAAAGGTATTCCCATTTGTGCAGTCTCTTGTGATTTTCCTCCCATTCATCCATTCTCAGCAAGCCACTGGAGGACACGTACCACCTAAGTGAGGGGGAGAGGATGGGGCTTGCAAGAAGGGCAGCCCTAGATGGCAGGGGCAGCAGTCTCCGGAGCGGGCAAGTCCCAGACTCTAGGAGAAGCTCTGTCAAGATAATGAAATTCCAAAGAATATAAAACCCAGGAGAAAATAGAGACTATTGGTGCAAAGTTTGAATTGGTGATAAATACATAGAAAACTAATAAGTAAATGAAAAGAAATAATTTCTAATTCTGGGGGTAGAAGAATGTTAAAAAAGAAAGCTGATCATAGTTTTCTACAGGGGCAAACAGTGGGTAGCATTTCTGTTGTTACAGTGATGTGTACAGTGAGGAAGGTGGAAATGGAAGTGTACCGACTGCCACGCCGAGTTATTCTAAATGCAGAATCAGATCTTAAGGATGTAAACCACCTGAATTCCACTGTTACAGAGCAGGCCCAGTCAGGCTGGGTCGTTCAACATGCGTTCCTCATGTTGGCTGCAGGCTCCATTTGCCCTTTCTTCCAGGAAAGCACCTAACTTTGACTTGAGTTTTCCCATTAGATAAGATCTGTGGGATTGCTTTTCAAAGTTCTCCACCTCTTCTAGCCAAGGAACTGAACCTTCAAGGGTCATCTGAGCCCTGTCCTTAGGACACTTGCTCAAGGGTCACTCTGAGCCGTGTCCTTAGGGCACTTGCTCTGTGGGCATTCATTCCTGACCCCAACAGCTTAAAGACTGAAAGTGGTTGGGCAGATTCCTCTTGCAGTGACCATGGAGGGAGATCCTGATGGTCCTGCGCTGACGCTTCCAGCTGCCTGGTGTCCTCTGTTTGCCTCACTGGCAAGTTTCTTGCTATATCTCATGAGTTCCTTTTCCGTTTTAACCAGGGAATCAATTTCAGTTACAATAACCAATGATGTGGGTTTTAAACCTCAAATAACTTTCGATTGGATAAGAGAAAACGCGCGCGCGCTTGTGTGTGTGTGTGTATGTATGTAGGTATGTGAATATGCAAGCAAGACAAATAAAAAAATTAGAATTTAAGGCCATAAAATAGAATTTTAGTTATAAAACATTGCAGATGGGGGGCACATGAAGTGGTAAAAGGTGTGATTCATAATGAAGATGCAGCAGTGATAGGTATGACAACAAAGAGAAACCTCAGCAGCTAATACAGGTTCATGAGGAGAAGCTTCTGCAGAACTGAGGAAATCTGACCAAAGCACAGGTGTGCTGGGGATTTTAACTTATCTGTCGCAGAGTTTAAAAGATAAATCAACAAGAATAGGGAGATATTATGTGCAAACCATTAGAGAAAGCAGCAGAAGACCTGAGTAGGGGGGATGCCCAGGTGGAAATGTGGTCAGTCACATCAAGGAAAGGACGTGTTAAGTAGCAGTGGGAAGGTACTTGTCACCCATCACTTCCAGTGCTGGGGAAGAGACTAGAAAACAGGTACTTTCAAAAGTTATTGATGGAAATATAAACTATTACAGTAAATTAAATTATTACCGTAAATGGCACTATTTTGGCAATGTAACCTTTAAATATCTTATAAAACTAAATGCTCACACCTTTGACTCTGATATGAATTTAGAGAACTTGTCATACAAAAATAATAGAATCAAAACATACTGGATGTGCATATGATAATTTTTATTACAACATTGTTTGTAGTGGCAAATAATGAAGAAAACCTGAATATTCACAAATGGAATAATTTTGAGTAAAATTGTAGTACATTCCTATTATGGAATGTTATTCAGCTATTATGGAGTTGGCCCTATGTGTCAACTTGGATGTAGCATTGAAAAGGACAGCAAATGGTCAAGTAAAGCATCTTATTTGGTCCTATTAATATAAAATGCACAACAGTATATGATGAAAGCTAAGCACAAAAATGAAGAAAGGTAAGGAAGCATCAGCTGTGCTGGTGATGGTGGTCACTAAGGAGGTGAAGGGAGAGGAGGAGACCTTGGTTCTTTCCCACTTGGTACAGTAAGCATGTGATGCTCTTACAATTAATAAAAGATTAATAATAGATCAAGTAAGAATTTTATCAACTTAAGAAATTTTCTAGGAAACATTTTTAATCAAGAAGAACCTGGATGTTTTAAATAATAAATATGTGAATGTTCTTTTAATAAATCACAGCAACATTTGTTTTTATTCCCAATTATCAGGATTTGCAATAATGTTCTAATGTGCTAAGGGTTCTGTTGTTATATTTCTAAATATTTTTGCTTTGGGTAGGTCTGTCTTCATCGGTGGAATACAACATAATGGACTTGGAACAGGAACTTGAAAATGTAAAGGCCCTTAAGACAAAACTAGGTACTGTACTTCTTTTTCTTATGTATTGATCTTTAAACACCTTTCTTATGTATTGTCTTTAAAGACCTTTCTTTGGTGTAGTCTGAGATACTAGAAAATTTGCAAAATCTTTAGATTATGTTAGAACTTTCTGTGTAAAGTCATTAGTAAAGACTGTCTTTTCATTTGGGAAGAGGGCAGTTATATATTCACTCACTTTTTTGTGTGTATATACTAATAACTTTCAAAGATGCTAATTCTCAAAGGTGTTACTCTTCTGTCTTCTCATTTACATTATTTATGATAAATAATCTGTAAAACTTATCTTTTTTAATATTTATTTTTTAGTTATAGGTGGGCACAATATCTTTTATTTTTATGTGGTGCTGAGGATTGAACTCAGTGCCTCACGCATGGAAGGCAAGTGCTCTACCACTGAGCCCCAGCCCCAGGCCATACTTATCTTTTAATATATCTTTTTTATGTATCTGCTATTAGGATACCTCTTTACTGTTAATTTTGGGCAATCTTCTTATGATGAGCATTTCAGTGTGCTGTATTCTTTGGATTTATTGAGTCTCTCAGATCTGGGAATTTATACTTTCATCTAATTTGGAGAATTGTTGGCTGTTAACTTCTGCAAATATATTTTTCCTTGTCTCCCTACCCTTTTATCAGGAGCTCAAGTTATGTGTAGATTAGCTCATAGCTTGAGGATGCTTCTGTGCTTTTTATCTCTTTTCTTTTTGTTTCATTTTTGTTGGTCTTTGACTGTCCTTTCACTAATCTTTATTCTACAGGTCTGACCTGCCTTCTGCGTATCTGACCCATGTGTGTTTCTATTCCCAGTTACTAGGATTTATAATTTGCATCAGAGAGTGCAGTTTTCATTTCTGTAAGTTCTCTTTGGGTCTGGTATCTTTCACACCTCTAATTAACATTTCAATCTCTGTCTTCCACCTTTATGAAAATAAGGAACATAATCATGACACCACTTGGAATGTTTTTGTTTGATAAGTCTAACATTTGTGTTGATTCTTGAAAAGTTTGGATTGATTTTCTTCCTCATTATTGGTAGCATTTTGTGCTTCTTTGCTTGCTTGGTAGTTTTTGATTTGAAAGTTTTGGGGGCGCTGTTTTTTTTGGGGGATATTGGGGATTGAGCTCAGGGGCACTTGACCACTGAGCCACACCCCCAGCCCTATTTTGTATTTTATTAGAGACAGGGTCTCACTGCATTGCTTAATGCCTCGCTTTTGCTGAGGCTTGAACTCGCCATCCTCCCGCCTTGGCCTCCCAAGCCACTGGGATTACAGCTATGCACCACCTCGCCTGGCTTGGGTGCCATTTTTGTTACTTCCAGAAGTGAGGCATTTTGTTTTGGAGAGCAGCGAATTTACTTGTAAACCATGTGATGTTACTGTGTCTTGGTGTGAAGCCTTATGAGGCCAGATGAGAGCTCTACCACATTCAGGGCTGATTGTCCCCTGCCTCTTAGGCAGCCACTGTTCTTGGCCCTTGCTGATTGCCAAGTTCTGTTCCCTCCGACTTTTGTGTGGAGTGTTTCCTGACATGTCTGATCTGATCATTACTGAGCACATGACTGGCCCTTTGCAGGCCCTGGGCGTTCTTTGCCTGTGTTGCAGTCTCCTCTCAGGGACGGTGCTCTGTATGCTTCAGCAGGTTTGGTCCCCTCAGGTCTTCTGCTCAGGAATGAGCAGATCTCTCCTTGGGTTCATCTTCCCTGTGCCATGGTCTGGGGTCTCACAAGAAGCTTGGTCAAACAGACTTATACTCTTTGTTTCCCATCTTCAGGGATCACTGTCCTGCCCCAATAAGAAGTCTACTGTCTTGAAAACTGTCATTTCAAATATGGGTTCTTTCTGGTTCTTAATTCTTTCAGGCTGGATGGCAAATCTGTGCCCTGTCATTCCATCCTCAAAAGTCCAGAATTAGGTTTTCAAAATCAGATATGTTCATTTTAATTTCTGTAAGTAATATTATATTGCCTCAAGTTATCTTAGTCATTTTACTGTGGATGGATTTCGGATATGTTTCCAGTATTTTGCTTTTAAGAATAATGTTGTTTAAGCATTTTTGTGCGTGTCTTTTAGTGTATGTTTTTTTCAGGACACACTCTAGAAGTGAATTACATTGTACTTAAGTATATTCACTTTTATAGATAAATGCTAAGTTCTTTCCTAAGTATTTGCATTATTTTGCATTCCTACTCGGCATAGTAGGATTCCCTATTGTCCCCATCCTTGCTAACACTTGACAATGTAGAACTTTTAAATGTTTACCAATGTAGTGGATGGACATGGTGTTCCATTGGTGTTCTCATCACATGTTCCATTCTGTGATTGCAGGGCCCTTCTAGCTTCTGCTTGGAAACACTCTTTGGAATTTCACTTAATACATGTGTCCTGCAGTGATTCTTTCAGTTTCTGTTTGTCTGGAAACATTCACTTTGTAGGGCATTTTTTAACAGAATGGAGAATTCTTATTTGTTTCTTTTCCGCATTGTGGAGATGTCATCCCAGTGTCTTCTGGTTTCTGGTTTAAAGTCATATTGTTGGTTTTCGAAGGGCTTTAAATATTTCCTTTTTGTCTTTGTTTAGCTGTTTTACACTGATGTGCTCAGATTTTTTGTTTGTTTGTTTGTTTCATGTGTATGCATTTTTTTGGTTTCTTGATCATGGTTCTTAAGATCTCTGTGCCTTCATGACTGTGGCTTGATGTCCTTCACCCACTTGGGAGAATTATCGGTCATCATCTCATCAAACACTGTTTCTGCCTCATTCTCTCAGTTATGTACATGGCAGACATTTTCACTCTTATTCTTGTCCATATGTTCCTCCTTTTTCATTTCCATGTTTCAACTGTGATACTTTCTGCAAGCCTTGTTTTCTATTTCACCATCTTTTCAGCTATGCCATAACTATTCCAAACTATCTGTTGAACTCTTAATTTTGTTATAGTTTTTTTCCAGTTCTAGAATTCATGTTTGATTGTTTTTATTGGTTCAAACTTACTTGTGAAATTTTCCATTTTGTCACTTACCTTATTGAACCTATCAATCATTTCAGGCCTCTTTCTGATAAGTCCATAAGTGGACCAACTTAGGGTGTGTCTTCCTCTTTATCCTGCCTTCTGGACATGTTTGACTCAAGGTAGACTTTTCTCACAGAATCATAGAAATTGAATGCTGTTTTCTTCTTTCTGAGCAGTTTCACTTTGGCCTCTGGTGGGCAGTAGAGTGGGATATAAAAACTTAGTCCTTCTGGGCTGGTCTGTTTCCAGCGTGACCTTGATCCTGGGTTATGGCATTTCGTTGGTCCTCACTGAAAACCTGGCTATTTTGATCAGGCTTTTTTAATGAACTCTAGCTTGCTTCTCAAGAAACTTGAGCCAGCAGAGCTTTGCTGGGCTTCCAGCCAGGGCTGCATCCTTCTGCTCTCCACAGTCTCTTGGCTACTGAGGCTTTCTGGGAGAGTGGGTCTGCATGTCAGGTTCTCTTCTTTGCCCTTCCTTTCTCTCTATAATGGTGGCATCTCAAATTCTGGCTCCCCTGGTAGCCCCAAACTCCAGGGTTTGTCTCCCTGGCCCTGTTGAGTTTTCTGAGAGTTTTGCTTTAACTTCGTTGTCTTCTGACTACTGATTTCTGCTTGATCTCTGAGTCTCATGGGTCCATGCCAGCTGCTTATTGAAAAACACCTTTGGGATAAAGTGGTGTACACGGGGGGCTCACCTGCACACAATTCAGAGAATATTGGCTCCTAATTCTCCTATCTGGGTAGCTTTCTGGTCTCTTAATGCAGATGCTTTAAAAGTGGAATTTCCTTTGTCCAGGTGTTCTTGGCAGGGGGACTGGTATAGTTCATGGTGTCCTTGGTATCTAGCCATGGATGTCTACTTCTAGCCTTCAGAAAGCTTGGAGTGTCCCTGAGGCTAGAGGAAAGTTTATGTATGTTATTGTACTCATTCAAGGGTATGTCTATGTCAGTATGTATATCTATACCAAATACAAAGCTTTCTGTATTTCAAAGTAAGCTGTATATTTACAGTATGTTTACATAAAAATGGAATTGTCTTTACAGGGATAAAATTTAGGCCTCCCAGAATTGAGCTGTTTAACATAGTGAACTGATTCTTTTTTTTTGTACCAGGGATTGAACTAAGGGGCACTTAACCACTGGACTATATATCTGGCTCTGTTTTTATTTTGTTTAGAGACAGGGTCTCACTGAGTTGCTTAGCGCCTCACTTTTGCTGAGGCTGGCTTTGAACTTGGGATCCTCCTGCCTCAGCTTCCCTAGCCTCTGGGATTATATGTGTACGCCACTGCTCCTGGCACAAACTGATGTTAAAACTCTGATTTTTGTAATTTATGAAGGAAAATTGAAAGTAATTTATGCTTTTCAAAATGGGAAAAAATAATGCATACTGCTAATATCATGATGGGATGAAAATATAAATCTGGAGATAATTTTTAGAAATTTCTGAAATTTTTGTCTTGTTTTTTCCGTCTAATAGAGAGGCGAAAAAAGGCTTCAGCATGGGAAAGAAATTTGGTGTATCCCGCTGTTATGATTTTACTTCTTATTGAGACAGTAAGAATTTATTTGCATTCTTCATAAAGCATATTATATTTTATTTACTTTAGCCTTTGAGTATTGTAACTTTCAGCTAAATGGTTTCTAGTGAACAAGATTTTCTATCGAACAAGATTAAAATGTGTTTATACCTTTGTTAGAGCAAAGATGGAAGCTAATGCCAATTAGAAAAAGTCCTCAATTGTCTGTTTCCTGAGGAAATTCAGACTTTTGTCTCATTTGAGAAAACAAGATGTTGTAGAAACCCTAGTTTAAACTTGCTGAAAGGATATGAAAATTACATTGTGAAATTAATTCTGTTGATACTTTACATGTCTGAGATCTGTAGAGTTGTGGGTTTCCAATTGGTGAGACTACTTAGTGAATGGTCTATCTCATTATCTTTTGTCATAAGCTTTGAAATCATAATAATTTGCAGAATTTTAAAGAATTTACCCTGGAGCATTTATACGTCATCTGCTTTGTTTGTGGAATTTGGTCTTGGCTGCTTTCCCTCTGTTCTGAAGCATGCATTTGGTCCTGTAGACTTATCATCTGCATGTTGGAACCAAGAGCTGACCCAGCCCAATCTTTGTGTTGCAGGCTATCTCGGTCCTACTGGTGGCCTGTAATATTCTCTGCCTGCTGGTTGATGAAACAGCAATGCCGAAGGGAGCAAGGGTACAGTAAAGTGCTTTCCTCTCTTTTGCAAATGTGTTCTGTGTATAGACCTGAGTGTTTTCAGTAAGTGAATGAAAACATTTGCCTTTCTGTGAGGTCAAGTTGTATGACTTTCTTTATGGAAAGAGTTTTCAAACAGTGTATTTATAAATATTGATTTCTCTAATTTTTTTTTTTTTTTACTTTGAATTGTCCTTTTTTTCAGGTTGTAGAGTTCTCTTTAAACTCTGGTATCAGAGTTAAACTTGGTTTTACTGAAATTCCTATTGGTGATTCTTTAAGAAAATGCATGCTCTAAAATAGTGATGTATAAAGAGTATACCTGTTAGACTCATTGGATTTTTTTTTTTTTTTTTTAACCCAGGGCCTCAGGCATGCTAGGCAAGCACTCTGCCACTGAGCTGCATCCCCTGTCCACTCACTGGATTTTTCAAAGATCTAAATATACAGCTATAGGGACTTATACTTTAACTGTATCACACATTTTGTGAAACTATAACAAAATATACAGTTACTGGATAAAAGTATTTCTTTTCATGAATTAACTTTTTTCCTGATTTAAAAATCGATGATGTTATTTAATTTTATTGATGAACCTATTTGAATATATTTTTCATATGTATTATAGTTATCCTGACGTATTCATATTTGCTATTCTTTTTCTATATATTACTACAAAAGTTTGAATCCTTAAAGTCGCATTTAAATTTTGAAATTTTATTTTATTTTTCCCAAGTCGTCAGCTTTTGCATTCCCCATAGCCAGATTCATGATATCACTGATCCCTCTCTGACTCAGATGACATATCCTTGTCTCTCATAGGAACAAGCCAGTGTCTGTCTTAATTCCTTCCCTTCAGTTTCAGAAAAAGATCCCCTGTTCTTTCAAAGACTGATTTCTTTAGCCATTTTCTTGATTCACTCAACCACCAGCCTTCTTGGGACCTTGTGCCATCTGCCACTGCCATCACCATACTTAGTTGTGCAAACCTACCGACTTCCCAGGTGCCTCAATCTGCACAATAAGTAAGATGGTACTCCTCCTCCATCTTAGCCTTGTCTTTGTATCTCTCAAACCATGGGTTGACCAGGAAGTCATTCCTGTATTGACTGCCTGTTGACTCTTTAATCCATTTTAATATGCCATCAAGACAAAGTAAGTCCCAAGCTCTGTGGCACATTTTTATACTACCCCCATGAGTGGATATTAGAGAGTGACATGTACCTTTAAGGGCTTCCTGTATGATTGTACAGATAAATTAGTTCATCTTAATCCTGCTATAGCTTTCTCTTAAAATGGAGTATTCCAAAAATATTTTCCGTTTTAGTTAACATGGATTTGCAGGGGAGTAAAGTGTCTTTTCCTCACCCAGCATACGGTTCATGAGAGGTCTCTATATCAAAAGAGATCAATGAGAGAAAAGTGAACATATTTATTTAACATAAGTTTTACGTGACACAGGAGCCTTCAGAAGTAAAGACTAAGAGAAACAGGGAACCCTGTGTCTTTATTCTGAGATTTGAAGCAGATTGGTCAGTGGAGTGGTGGCCCTAAGAAGGTATGGTTTACTTGGTATGTCCTTTGTCTTCAGAGAGGGGAATTCTCCTGGTATCTGGGTTTAGAGAAAACCTAGGGTCTTCCCTTTGTACCTCTCCACAATAAGGGTCACATGGTCTGCTTCAGAGAACTTTGGGAGGTCAGAGAGTGATCTTTATAGGTCTTCTCAAATACTGAGGTGTCAGGTTTTGGGGTAGCATGTTCTAAATCCAATCATTTTCTATTGACATCATTCTTTTTGTCTTCAAAATATTGGCAAGAAATTGATAAATTCCTTTCCCTTTGTTTATATCTGAGATTTTCATAGCTACTCTTACATTTGTTGGCAAAATTGAATGGATATATAATGTGTATGATAATATTTATTGGCTTATTTTTTATTAGTCTGACTATACATTCTTATCTCTGGTGGTGTTATATAAGCTGACTAGTAGAACAGTAATTCATATGCAGATCATTCCTTTAATATTTAGTTGTAAGATTTGAAAATATTGTTTGCACTTTACTAGGGAATTATATTTTGCCTGTCAGGGCTCATTAAATTAATATATTCTGTCTGGTTTGATTTTTTTTTTTTTTTTTAAGTTCTAGGTTTTGAAATAGATGTGACATTTAGGGGAAAAATGATGCATTACTTTTTAACAATCTGTGTTAAGTTATATTTTTTGTAACTCTGAGTTTCTAAGGAAGATTTGGGGAAGGGAAATAGGATAGGCATCCACTTTCTTTCTAAGCTTAGCTTAACTCTGACACAATTAATTTGTGTAATTCTGTACGTTGCCTCAGCCTTCAGATGAGTATATTTTCTATCCCTATTGTAACATTCTATTGGTAAAACATTTATCCCAAGAATATTTAAGATCTATTTTCTCAAGTAGCAAATTGCTACACTTTTTAACAGTAAGTATAGTATCATTTTGGCAAGTACATTAAATTACATTTGAGGTAAATCAGAATTTTTTTTTTTTTTTTGAGCTTGTTAAAGTTGTTAACATGGTAGCTGAATTTGTTGATGAATTCAGTCTGATGTCATGTTTCATTGGCCTTTGAAAGCCTACATGTTATTTCAAGGTATTAAACATTCTTAGTTTCAACTGTCTTATGTTTGTGAAACAATAGTTTTAGGAAAACTAAATATGGTGGTGTCAGTGGATTCTGAAATTTTTTTTTCTCCTCTAGGGGCCTGGAATAGGAAATGCCTCTCTCTCTACATTTGGTTTTGTGGGAGCTGCACTTGAAATCATTTTGATTTTGTATCCTTTCTTTAACTGAATTTTCTGTCTGTTAACAAGTTTTCTGTCTAGTTTCTGGGACAGTGGTAATTTACTAAGACACTTGTCTGGAAGAGAAAACAGGTCAGTCTTCCCCAAGCACTCAAAGTGGTGTTTTGTTTTGTTTTGTTTTTGCTGTGGGCCTTAAGACCTTGGGAGGTTGCTGAGAACTCATGGAAACTCGCATTCTTCTGAACAGTTCTCCTTGATTCTCACAGCTATCTTATGGTGTCTTCTGTTGTCGGTTTCTATAGTCTCCGATTTTTTGGAAACTTTACACCCAGGAAGGATGACACAACTATGACAAAGGTAAGGTAAAGTCTGAGGCAACTGTGGCCCTCTGTTGCCTTACAAGACAAACGGACTGTGTTATTTAGTAATTGCTCCGAATGGTTCATCTGCTGTGATAGGTGTTGGTTTGCAAGCTACGTAAACACAAGCGGGAAGATTTTCAGAATGCTGAGTGAGTGGGAAAAGGATGAGCTCTGTTTGATTTGGATGGGGTCCATTCACTTGTAAATGCACAGAACTGCAGAGCTTGTTCACTGCTATAGAAGGGTCCTGAAAGGACTCTTTTGCCTATAAAGAAAACGTATTGCTAATGAGTAACTTTGATTGTACTAACTCTACTTCTGGGAGCTTGTCTGAAATCTGAAGAACTTAGTAGAGACAAAGTATTTCAAATTTGAATAATTAAAGTAAGTCAGAAGAGTTTTATTCAGAAACATTTTGTAGTCTGAGGTTAATTTGACTTTGTACAATATGTCATTGCCTTCATAATAAAGGCTGTTATCGTATACAGTGATTGAATCTCTGGAAAATGTTCCCACAGGCTGACAAAGAATGACTAATAAGAGTTGCTGCCTTACTTTTTTCTTCCATCGTATGTTTCTTATTTTTAACTTATTTAAAAAGGAGAAGATATATTACACACACACACACACACACACACACACATATAGTGTTACAGCTTCTTTAAAGTCAGTAATTGAGGGTTTTTTAAAATCTAGTATCTAGTTTAAATGATCGTAAGTATTAATAAACATTTCACTCCTCTTATTAAATGTGAACAAATAGCCTAGGACACCTTGAAAACGAGTGACTAAGTTCAGATGTTTAATAGCAGACACTTTTAAAATTAGATCTTAAAGAGAAGTAGATCTTATATAAGAGAACTTGAACAGTAGTCTGGTTTTAAAAATATAGTAAGAAGAATCAAATATATTCTTTTTTATTTGACAAGCAAAGCTTTTTGAAATTGGCAATCATACCAATAATGTGAAGTATATTGTCTAAGTGAAAAGTGACGTAAGTGTTCCATGACTGTGTGTGTGTGTGTGTGCCAGGTACTGTGAATATTTTATAGAATTCACAGTTATAACTCTAAATAGAAAAAGTTTTATTCTCGCAATTCTGTACTGAGCAGTTAGCATCACTCAGAAGCTGGCTGAGTGGGGCAGTGATCCACAGGGTTGGTGGTTTACTGTCATCCTGCTGTCCAGTTGCCCAGTATTCTTTCTGATTTCTCCTCACAGATCATTGGTAATTGTGTATCAATCTTAGTCTTGAGCTCTGCTCTACCTGTGATGTCAAGAACTCTGGGTGAGTTTAAATGAGAAATGTTCATTTAAAACCTTTTTTCTTAAAGATACTGTTACTAAACCTTTTTAACTTTTATTTTTTCAACTCTTTCAAAAAGATCACCTTTAAAATATAATGTTTCTTCCTACATTGTTATACCTTTAGTTCTGTACTTGGCCATACCGAGACAAACACTTTCATCAAATAAAAACCATTAAAAAAAAAATTTAAAGTGTTTCTTCTCCAAACAATAGACTCCCCCCCTTCCCAGCCCCCACCACATTCACAGCTTTTGAATCTTCCAGTGAGGAAACTGTCTTTAAAAAAACATTTACATCTAGAAAATATTAAACTAATGTCTTTTTTTGAATGTAAAATTTAGTATGTAGTTTAAAAAACTGGAAAATTGTAAACTCATTTTAAGCTGCTTTGTATTCATGAAAATAGTTGAAAAATATGCATGATACAGTTTCTGGGAGCATATGCTTATTCCAAGGACGTCCTTGGTCCTCAGTCTCTCTTTGCCTGTCAATCAGATCATTTCCTTAGTTTGTCATTATACAGAGGATTCTGATCATCTTTTAAAAGTAAAACAGATTTCTGCTTTGTCACTGAAAGGTCATTTGACCTTCTATATAAAATATTAATTATAGACGGTTCAGTTCTTGCCTAGGTATTATTTCAAACAAAACTTTCTATTGGACCATTTTGTATAATTTTCTAGATTTAGGTTTTAACTTAGGAAACTAATGATTATAGAAACATCAGTAACTTCAGCAACGTGCTCTGCAACAACTGTAGTGCCTCTGGGTTTCTTCTGCTTTAGCTGTCATGTTGCCTCCATTATTGATTCAAGGCTAACGGCCATCAGCAGTGCAGGCTGTGCATGAAAGTGGGGGCTTTGTAGTTATCTTCATAATTTTTATGAATTCTTCATTTTTTAATAGAAAGTGTAAAGTGGACATGTAAAGGGACCACTGGAAACCCATTTACTTAGTCCATCAAATAATTTTGGTGATATGACAGCCACCCTGCCATTTAAACATTTAGAAAGCTTATGTACTGTGCTCTGTTACTTAAGATTAGTTGCTGATTATTAATAGATACTGATTTTATGAAGAAAATTACATACTGAATATAGTTTTAATACAAAGAAAAAAAAGCAGGGCAAAATTCACTTTTTGAGGCCTGACAAATTAAATTCCTGAGTAGTTTTCCATAGAGATAAATAAAAAGGAGAAAAGAAAGATGGAACAATTAAGATGCAGCTAACAAATGCCGGGGCCCAGCTGTCCAAACAGGATTAATGGAGTGCATTAGGGTACAGTGAGTCATGTGGCGCTTTGCAAGGTGTCAGCCCGCTCGGCAGTGCAGGCTATGCCCAGTGGCACTGCACAGATGAAAAGGAGTAGATACGCTAAACAGATGCACAGAGGCTTTTCACAGTGTTAAAGCAAATTTCTAGACTAAAAGATAAAGCTTTATTTTAGTATTATGGGAAATGCAAACTAGAGAGTTACTTTGTAATTCCTCTATTAACTCTTTAGAATTGAGTCTTTGATTTTAAGAAGGTAAAATATAGAGAATAGTCATGAATATTATCCTAGTGTATAGCAGGATTTCAATTTACTAGCTGAAAAGCTTATAAGACTAGAATAGAGGACGTACTTAACAATCAAATTCCAAGCTGTGAAATTTTCCACTCTTTTCTCCTCGCCTCTCACAAGGAAATCTGACCTTACGTGGTCTCATTTGCTCCTGCGGGATCAGCCAGCAGTGTCTCATCACTTAGGTGACATAAGAGAGGCAGTAACAAGGAGAATCATAATTTAACTGAATCTTGCATTTTCCCTCTTATTCCAATAATTTTCTAGTGAAGACTGTAATTTTAATTGGAAATTGAAAATACATCAAACCTAGTAAGATTAATTTGGCGATATTTTTGCTTCAAAAGTGAAAAATGTTCTGTGGGTGTTTTTCTCTTTTGAAAAAATTGCTGAATTCTATTATTGTTTTATTATAGGCATTATAAATTAAAGCTTTAAGTTCATAATGTGAAATAATACATTTATTAAAGAATTCCTTTTAACATTTAAAGCTTGTTAATATTTGAATGAAGAAAATTTTGTACTATTTAGATAAAGTCACCAATAAATTTAATAAGGATATCACATGCTACAGAGAATTAAGTGGCAAGGAATGTTTTGACCAGGTAAAAAGGAATGTTTTGACCAGGTACTTCAGTCAAACATAATGATAGTTTTATTGCCCATAGGAAGTACAAAGACTCTTCTTAAAATTGTGTGTTTGAACCCTTTAAAGCCCTTCTAAAGTTTTGAGCCATGCCAGTGTTCCAAAACGTTATTTTGTTGAACATTTAGACTTTAGTTTTGAAGAATCCAAATTGGGTTTGTGGGGTCATTTGATGTCCGTTACCTTTAGTAAAGGGTTTACTGTTTACTTTAATGAACTCTCCAAGTGGTAAGAGGAGATGGTTGAAAACGGGGTACAAACAGAACAGGATCAAATTGGTCATCTAGAGATGTCTCAACTTCTCTATAACTATTTCAAGTTTAGATGTTGCAGTGAATTCCTTAAGAATAGATTTCATATGATTGCTGTCATGCTCTTCATTGTGCTTAATCAAGAAAACAATGAAAGGTTAACATCTTTTCATTGCTTTTCATTTTGAAATTTCTAATGATGGAGAAATTTTTCTCAAATGCAGATAACAGTATTTGAAATGCTTTTGCTAATTTTTGCTTCAGAAATATTTTTATTTTATTTTTATTCTAGATGGTCTTTCTTGCATAAAATATGCAAAGTCCATAATACAGATTTTTTTAAAAAGTGTTTTTGGCATTTTAATAAAAATATAATTTCAAATGAAGTTGAATTTATTTTTAGTATTTCTACATGTTTCTCATCCAGGTCCATGCAGTCTGACACCCATAAAGGAGACACAGTGGGTTACTCTCTTGTTCTCTGATGGAGGGCTCTTGTTAAAAAGTGGTCTTTTTTTGGAGAAGGCTTTATATGAGTTTTTTTTTTTTAATATGTTACTAATATTTGCCCTCAGATATACCTCTTCATTTCTCTCTGTAAAATGGAAATAAATGATCCTTTTACAGATGCTTAGCAATGGCAAATTATGATATTGATATAAAAGTAATTTCAAGACCCATATTGAAAGTTTCTCAGCAAAAAATATTGAATGACTTAGTTATATTCAGATATATTATAGAAAATAATAAGTGAGTGGAATTAATTAACTTTTGATTATTAATGTTTTTATAGCAAACTATAAATTTGTATATATAGTTAGGATTTTTAAGAATAAAGAATTCTTAAAAGTATTTTGTTTACGGGGCTGAGTTGTAGTTCAGTGGTAGAGTGCTTGCCTTGTACGTGTGAGGCACTGCGTTCAATTTCCAGCACCACATATAAAGAAGTAAATAAAAATAAAGGCCCATCAACAACTAAAAAAAATTTAAAGAAATATTTTGTGTCAAATGTCTAAGGGGGCGACTAATGATAACTCCCTGGAAATTCATGTTCCCTGTGTCTCCTTATTGTGTTTTTGATACTACACTGATTTAGGGAGATGAAAAATGGTCTGAGAAAATGACACATTGTTCAGATGAATCTAGACTTAGCCATCTGTTGATATTCAGATACCTTAGTTTGCTATAAAATAAAATAAATTTCATATGAAAATAATCCCAGATCATTTAGCTAGAAGGAACCTGAAGAGGTAATTTTAAAAATGTTACAGTTAAAGTATTAGTTAAAACTAGACGGTTATAATGAGGGTTCAGGCTAGAATGGCTTCAGACCACCAGTTTGAATCCTAGTCCCTAGTTTCCAGAAACCATTTTGGTTTATAGCTTTTCAAATAATATCTTGTAAATGTGGGTGTGAGTGTGTTCTCTATAGGAAATTTTAACTCTCACCTGGATGTGACTTTGTTTCTAATTCTTTTATTAGCATTCTTGTTCCCTTTGATGGCTCTTGACTTTGTGTGCTGCCCAGTGGGAGTTAAAAGAAGAAAAGATTTTGAAATAATTTCCTCTATCAGAACTCAGTCATCTGCAACTGAATTTCAAACCCAAACATGTGACTATCTCTATGTGTAGGTTACTGGTGACCTCCTAATTGTCTACTCTTGTGGATTCTGATTTTATCTTAATTAATCTGGCATTTGCTGTTTGTAACCTTGGCCCTCCCCCACCACTTCTTCATTTCTGATCACCAAGGCCTTCTTTTCTCCTTCTCCTCTAGCTTTGCTGCTGTGCACCTACTACAACACATCACTTGTTCCCACTTCCAAACCTTCAACTTACCACCCACCCCTAAGCTAGGCAGAGGAGCCCAGCTCTGCTCCAAGCAGGGTTCCACTGCCATCCCGTACTGGTCCTTTCTAAATCAGAGCCTGTTGTGCTTGTCTCTGAATTCAGTCTTTGGAACACTTCTATCCAGAAGGCCAAATCAGAACCTTAAGAGTTTTGGCAGGCTCCTCTGCCATCTTGCAGTGATATTTGGTAGCAGTACTAGGTTTCATCTTCCTCCCCATGTTTCTCTTGGAAAAGTGAAGAGTTTGATAGTGTTGAAAGCAGAGAGCTGTATGTGACTTTCTCTTAATAGTTCATCCTTGAAAGGAGTGTCGTGGATTCTAGCAGGGTTCCCTCCCCTCCCTCCCTCCCTCCTCCTCCCTCCCTTCCTTCCTTTCTTTCCTTTTTCTTTTCTTTTTTTCTTTTGAGAAGGGTGGAGTAAGAAGACACTAAGCCAAACCAGAAGAACTAAGAAAGCATTTAGTTTTGCAATTTAATTTCTCCCACAGTGAGAAGGTGTGATTGGGAGGTGTCGCAGAGGCCCTTTCTGGAGAGTTTCTCCAGGAGGATAGACAGCTGCCTTCTACATTGCAAGGCTAAGGCATTCACTTTTTTGCAAATTAGTTCTTTCTTGGACTCTGACTCGAGTTTTCCTTGGTTGGCTCTGGCTTGTCTTCAAGTTCACCTGAC